GAAAGTCAAATCGGTCAAATGTATTTGGTCTACCACTTATATCTCAAAAAAAATAAGCAAGTTTAATAAAAGAATCGCCCCCAAAAGATGCTCGTGGAAAAATTTACGGTCATTTGAAGTTTCACGAAATGTGACTTTAAAGGGGTACTTGTGAAAATTTGAACTCCAAACGGACATAAAACGCGCATTCGATGTCCGATCAAGCCAATTTTTTTCCTAACTGATTAATTTTCTTTCGATATCTATGCGAAAAAACACTACGCACTGCCATAGGACTTATAGTTTTACGTTTATCGATTTTTGACCATATATAGGGTAAAAATATAAGGAAAAAACGAAAGTCAAATCGGTCAAAGGGATTGGGTCTACGGTGTATATCTCAAAAAAATAAGCAAGTTTGAAAAAGAATACCCCCAAAAGATGCTCGAGGAAAAATCTACGGCCACTTGAAGTTTCAAGAAATGTGACTTTAAAGGAGTACTACTGTGAAAATTTGAACTTCAAACTGACATAAAACGCGCATTCGATGTCCGATCGAGGCGATTTTTTTCCAACCTGATTATTTTTCTGATATCTACGCGAAAAAATACCACGCATTGCCATAGGACTTATAATTTTACATTTATAGATTTTTGACCATACATAGGGAAAAATTATAAGAAAAAACGAAAGTCAAATCGGTCAAAGTATATAGGGCACTAATTTCTCAGTCTGGAAATATTTGAGCTGTTTGTGCATGAATGTATTTCTTTCCTTGTGATGTTCTTCTCAAACATAAAATCAGAAGAGGAACAAACGAGTGTGGCAAGAAGAAGTGCTTTAGACAAAAACCTGAACTTGATGTCTGTGATATGTGATTCTTCAAGTAAACACTAATTAGGATTCAAGTTTCTGAAGATTTGTCTTGGTTCTAATTCAATCATTTGTTTTTCTTTCTTATGCTAATGTCTCTTTGGGTATTTGAACAATCTGACTATTTGTATTCAGGGACATTGTGGTTCTTGTTGGGCTTTTGGTGCTGCTGAGTCGTTGTCTGATTGTTTCTGTATTCATTTTGGCTGGTTAAATTCATTCCTTCATGCAAGTTTATTCTAGTTATGGTAGCTAGTTATTCAATTTTTATGTGTGAGGTAGAATATCTCTGTGTCAGCAAATGATATCGTAGCATGCTGTGGTCACTTAAGAGGTCATACTATTTTGTTTTATACACTTATTGTACTTCTGAGAAAATACATCTTTTTGTATATTGTAGTATTTGAGATTTCTTTTACTGTTTACGATAAGAATGATTGAGGAAGAGAGTAAAGTTCTGATCCTGACTTTTTTGGTATTATATGATATGAATCCCAAGCAACAATTTCAGTCGAATGATCTGCTTTAATGCAGCTAGATGTCATTGTTTAAATGCACTAATTTCTCAGTCTGGAAATATTTGAGCGGTTTGTGCATGAATGTATTGCTTGCCTTATGATGTTCTTCTCAAACAAAAAGTCAGAAGAGGATCAAACGAGTGTGGTTTGAAGAAGAAGTGGTTGCAGGAATGCCTTCAGCCAAAAACCTGAAATAATTGTTGGCTCCATTTCTGTATTGAAAGTGTTACTACTCCTCACTCCAATTCAATAAGAGTTCTTCCCTATTTATCTTTGATAGTGTATGGGCCCTTCCTTACATCCCTTAACTTTTTGTTTTTGTGTGGAGATATGTTGGCTGCAATAATTGAACTTTATTTCTGTTGAACGTTGCATGTCCACCTGTAAGCCTACTTTTTGCATCAGGAGGCTTATGTAGTTTTCGGTACGTATCACCTTCAGTTTAAACTCCTAATCTATGTTATGTGTCCTTCATTCGCCTTGATGTACCCATGCCAAACGGGTGCAACTTGGATATGGGTCCTTTGTATAGTCATATAGTTCTTTCTGGAATTAAGATGAGATATGTGAGCATTCCAAAGTCACTTATGATAATACAGTGAATGAACTCAACTTTCTACTCTCTGAATCAACAAGTAAATAAGAGAGCTACTTGCTAATTTCATTTGGATTATAAAAATGTTACTAACTAGCAGTTGTATCCTGCACAAGTATTACAACTCCCTTGATAGTATTGGGAAAATCTTATGGTAGACCTGTCTTACAACAACTTCAATTTGTCAGAAAACTCTGTACGAGTCTTTAACCTTATGCCTTCTTCTCAGAAACTTATTCACAAGTGCGTTTTCGTTATGCTGGGAAAGGAACATTAATTCTGCCATCTCTTTCTCTTATTAATTCTATTATTTTGGTGAACCTACCTACACATAATGAAATAATAATAATGTCTTTAGACTAAAGATTAGACTTGAACTATTTACTCAATCAAAAACAAACAAACAAATGGTAGTATTCTTATTTTTTCTGTATCATAGAATTTAAGCCCCCTCCTGAGATCATAGCTGGAGCAGTGGTGTCCTTATTAATTCTCATTTGTTGTTGCTTCGACTGGACAAACAAGGATGCACGGGAAAACCCCTAGAGAATTATTCAGGCAAGAGCACAAGTCATTACTAAAGGAAGGGCAAAGGTGGATAAAAGACACTTCAAAGTCATGTATGATTGTTGCAACTTTGATTGCCAAGACCGTGTTTGCTGCTGTCTTCACTGCATCTTTGTCATATCAGATGCAGTGGCACTATTCACCTCAATCGTTGTTTCCATCAATGCTATTTGAGATTGGTAATAATTTACTTCAGTGTATAGTACCCTATGCTCTAAAACAAGTTTCTCTCTGCAGGGCAAAAGATCGTAGGATGCAAGTGTAAGCCACTCACAAAATCTGGCATCATGACACTAAACCGTAAAATACAATTGTCTTCCGATCCATATATCCTGTGGTATTCAGCCTGCAATGTTTCTAGAATTAATATAAAGGTGATCAATTATGCAACATCCTAATGACGAAGAAATGAAGATAGAGGATTAGTATTTACAGAACCTGTTCCAGAGAAGCATAATGAATTAGGTTTTACAGGCTACAAGACTCTTTTGTCTGTGTCAACTCGAAGTTTCTATTACTTCTAGGCCAGTTGTGGCGACGTTGCATTTAATTAATGACCATCATTTTTTTGTTCCATACAGTATGACTTTTACAGCGATTTTCATAACATAGATGAAGAGCACTATTGTATTTTGAGGCAATAAAACATTGGTCCTAAAAATGATGTTTCTTGAACGTCAGTATTTTGAGCCTTATTTGCGTACTAAGCTCAAAATATTGGTTGGGGTATCGAAGTGGATGTCTTGTGCATTCCAACAAGACTGCAACTCATGTTCATTTTCTTTTCGACTCTCCATACTTGTCAATGTAATCACTTCACTGAAATAGCCATAACTTTGAGAGTTTTTTTGATCTTGACTCTCAACTGTTTTGACCAACCCTAAAAAATATATATTAATTAACAAGATGAGATGAGTTATATCGCATTGACATATTGATGATAATTTGGAGAATAAAAGAAAGAAAACATGCCTATCATTGATTGGATCAATTTCTTTTCCATATGGTTGGTATCTTGAACTTGGACCTTTCATTCCTACTGCAAACCAAAATGACTAAAACAAAATATTTACATCTGAGAATTGATGTTTGAAAATATCTATCAAAAATAAGTAATTGGAAAAAATATATATATATTTTTGAAGTAGAAAAAGGAAAATAAACCCTGTATTTTGTGGAAATTCATTATCCAAGGAACTCAAAATTCATTTTGCTGACCAACCATCAACTTAGACTTGATGAAGTGATTTTGTAATTTCTTACTAGTACTATTTTTGCATCCCATGAAATATATATAATATAATGAATAGTCATCAATGGTAATCGCATAAGTTATTTTCGAAGAATTCTTATCCATGTAACTCTTCGGAGCTTTATTACAAAATTATAATCAATGATGTATAAACACAAATATTGTAGTTCTTAATTTTATATGAAGTTTTTCATTATAGTGATTACTTGTCATTTTAATTTATGTACATCCATATTTGGATGATTTTTTTTGTACTAAAATAGGAAAAATAACTAATAATTACTTACTAGAACTTGACTGGATATGACAAAACTCCAATGAACACCTCTTTGTATGCAGAGTAACATTTTTTCTAAATAAGTGAGAATTCTAAATGATTTTCTGTAAATATTAAACGCCAAAATCACTTAGTAGGATTTGACTAGATATGACAAAAATTCAATCAATACCTATCTGTATTTCAAAATGATGTCGAGTAACTTCTTTTCTCGAATAAGTGATGATATTAAAATTTGAGTATTTTTTTTAAAATATAATTTTTAAATTATACAGATTTGGAAAAAAAAACGGAATACCATATTAAATTTATTATTTAAAATTTTATATAGCTCATGATAGAAATATCGATGTAACAAAGAAAAAATTATGAGCTCGAAAAAAATTGTGGCGTTAATGTGATTTTTCATGTCATGTGCATTGCCAAATTGATCTGATAACAATGTCATATTTAACTCAATTCTGTAATAAATGAATGTCAACGAGAAATATCTATTTTAACTTTTCACGCTCAATAAAACATTCGGGAATAAGTAGCTTAGCTGGCTGATTACCTCAACTTTCACCTTAATTTTTCACACTCAATAAAACACAACGGTATAATTCTACCTAGCGGAGACTATTGAAAAACTGGAGTCTGATCTTTTTGAGTGTTGAAAGAGCATCTTCCATGCTAATTCTTGCATCAGGTGTCACTACAGTGCAACTCAAAGCTAATTTCATGATAGATGAAAAACACTGCATCTTTGCATCGATTTGTTCATCCCCTGGCGTATCAAATTGGAATCCACCACCTTATGAATACCACTCGGAAAAGAATCATTAATCCAACATCATATATTCATTTCTCCGGTAAATATTTCATCACTTGGTCGCCTTCTTGTGAACATCTCCATTATCACGATGCCAAAACTATAAACATCACAGCTGGTGGAGACTATTCCGTCTTGTCCATATTCTGCAATCGTGGTAAAAGATAATTACAAAAAAGCTTTCTGGTTACCGATGAACATGCTAAACTGAGTACTAATCTATAATTACGATACCTGGAGTAATATATCCAATGGTTGCTATTGTCCTTGTTTGAACAAAATCCTCCCCTGCACCTAACAATTTTGCAATGCCAAAATCGCTGACATGACCAACCATTTCGTTATCTAGCAACACGTTGCTTGGCTTCAAGTCACAATGCACCACAGGTGTTGAATAGCCATTGTGGAGATAGTCTATTGCGGATGCAACATCTATCATTATACTTAATCTCTGCAACATGTCTAAGAAAAAGTTGTGATTGTATAGCCATTTGTCAAGTGTCCCATTCAGCATGTATCAAAACTTTTGAATGCACCCTCCAATTGTACATTGTAGACCTTCCCATTACCAAGCAAGTTGCTTTTTTCGGTACTAAATCCTTCAGCTGCTTTTTTCGGTGGCGACTACCGACAAACTGGAGCCTGATATTTTGAAGTGATGAAAGAGAATCTTCCATACTAATTCTTGCATCAGGTGCTATAAGTACAGCTCAAAGCTAACTCTATAATAGACAACAAACACTGCATCTTTGCATCAATTCGTTCATCCCCTAGCTGTACCAAATTAGCATCCACCACCTTATGAATCTCATCTGGAAAAGAATCACTAACCCAACGTCGTATGCTCAACTATCCAGTAAATTTTCCATCAATCAGGATACCGAAACTACAAACATCGCAGCTTGTGGATACGATTCCATCTTGTCCATACTCTGCAATCATGGTTTTAAATGGTCAAAAAAGCTTCCTATATCGGGGAAAAGAATTTAGGTTGTGGGTATTCTAAAAACACGAGGAAGCTGTAAAAGTTTCAACACTTGGAGCAAGT